TTTGGCCTCCAAGACCCACGCCCTCCAGTCCCTGATGGCTCCATCCCTTCTGCCTTTGCTGTCTCCGCTGTGGCATTTACAGGCCTGGTCATCCTCTTTCCTTCCTGCAATCCTTTTTTCCCTGGGCAGATTCACCCCCACCATGGCTTTGATCGGCATCTCTGCATTTGGGAAACGGTACGCATTTTTCATTTCCCTTTCCTCCATGACTAGGAAGACTGATCGTCTTTGCATGCTTTTTGACCTTTGGTATCTCTTCCTTTATCAGAGCCGGTTAAAGCAGAGGATGTATTTGACACGGATCCCAATCCAGATGCTGGCTATGGTAGGGCTCCGGCCTCGGCTCTAGGACCTGCCAGGCTATTCACTTTCTGTACTCCGTCAGGATTTCTGTCCACAGCCGATCACTGAATGGGCTGCCCCTGCCCTGGCCACAGCCTGATTCTTCTCTGTGAGTCCCATCCCCTCCCCTTCCTCCAAGTTCCTTATACTTCCATCCTGTTGAGAAGAGACGGCCTCTCCTCCCCATCGTTTTCCCAGCTCTCCTTCCCGCTGCCTGCCTGCCTCATCCCCAGCGGCCAGGGGTAGGTGTCAGCAAGGTCCCCACTCCTCATCCCTTTCGGGACATTGTTCTGCTGCCTCCATTCAGCAGTCCTGGTCTTTGCAAGTTCGTGTTATCCATTACCTCCCTTCTGCTAAACTCCTGTCTCCATCCTGTCCTCCGGCTCATTCCATCGGAGGGCCTTTGAATCGTGTAGATTCCTCTCTCCCTTTACCTGAAGCCCACGTCGGGGCTTCAGCCTGAAAACTGTCCTTGTCTCGTAAGTACTTGACTTGAACCTCAGTGATTTTCACTCTGACTCTGTTTTAGACGCCCACATGTTTAACCTTGCCTCCTATAAACGAGCTCTCTTTAAAATCTCTAGCTTTTTCGTCTTTTGCCAAGCTCCGTACACCCACACATACACACAGACACCCCTCCTTCGCTCCATAGTGTCTGCTCAACCTGCTCTTTATGCTGAGTGTGAGGACAAGGTTTTTGGCTTTCCTTTCCTCTCAATCTTTTGGTAAACTTTTACCTCCTTTCATCTCCTATGACCCATTGGGCCTACCAAGCCATGACCGGATGATATCTCCCCTTTAACCTTGGGCCACGGTGTTTTGCCAGTTTCTAATCCTGAGGACGTGTTTGTCTCACGTGCCGTCTCCCCATCTCCTCCATGAAACCTTCCATTCCGTCCCTTACACTGAGGGGTTCTCTCTTCCAATTAAATGTTGTTGCTTTTAAAAAAAATTATTTTATTAAACTTTATTTATTATTATTTTTCAATTAGAGAGAGAGAGAAAGCAAGCTGCCAGGTCTGGGACTCAAACCTTGGTCATCCACGTGGGAGTCCAGCACCTTTAACCACACCACCTGGCAGCACCCCAGTTAAATGTTAATAACATTTTTCTTTCTTTTTTTTCTTTTTAAATAGTTTTTTTTTCTGAGAGTAAGGTGCATCCCCACCAGGGTCCCCAGCACTCCCCGGCCAGCCAAGACCCCAGGCACGCAGATGCAGCTCTGGAGGCAAACCTGGGATTTCTCAGGTGGCCCTAGCATTGCAGAATGCTCTCACGTGAGACTTCGTTCTGACCAACTCAGTCCCATACCTGTCTGCCGCCTTTGGACTGTGAGTTCCAGAGTGACCGTGCCACATCTCCGTCCCCCAAGTACCCAGCCTCTGGAGCTTAGTTGGTGGAGGAGTTGATGCTGCTGCAGCTTGGTTGGCAGTGGCTGCTCCACTACTTGGGGCTGATGGTACCCAGATTTAAAACTCAATGTGTCTTTCCAAAACAGGGGGAAAAAATGAATAGAGAAAGAAAAAAGGAGCCTAAGGGAAGGTATATAGACAGTTTTTTTTTTTTTTTTTTAACCAGCCAGGTTGCAGGCAGCTATAATTGGGAAATCGTTTCTCCTGAAGTGTCAAGAGATATGCTGCCAACATCCAGGGACTCTAGTATCAAACAGGCTTATTTGGGTAGTGACTGTATATATCGGTGTCGGATGATGGCCTTGGCTCAAAGAAGCAAACATTGCACCTACGCTGAAAGGAAACATGCTGCGTTTGTCTTTTGGCTTGTGTGGGAGAGGAGAGGTTCCCCTTCTGTAGCCAGTCCCGTGGCACAAGCATTAGAAACGAAACACGCACCCATAGAAATAGTCTGAAGTCCTGCTGCCAGGAAACGAGGAAGCGCGACACACGAGCGAACGCCAGTACCTTGCTCACGCGGCTGCTTGGGACCCAGACGCTAGGCTCTGCGCCTCCTCTGCCTGGGGGAACGGCAGGCACGCATTCTACCATTTTTCTCTGGATGGAGAGACCTGCTGCTGAGAAGGGCTTGTGGCAGCCAGGGGCAGGGCAGCTCACCACCTTCGGGTAGTGAGGAACTGCCGTAACTGGTCAGCCTTTAGAGAAGGTGCCTTAGTCTCTCCAAGAGGGTGTTGTGTGTGTGTGTATGTGGGTGGTGGTGCAGGCTTTGAGAGGCTAAGACCCAATGATTAAGAGATAATATGATGAGAGCATATTCAATTTACTTAAATGTATTTAGCTATAGGATACGCGTGGGCACCAGAGAGAGACAGAGAGGGGAAGGAAAAGTGAGAAATCACCCCCCGGGGGGAAGGCCATACCCTCATCCCTTCTCCATTCTCCTCTCGGGATTTTGGGCACATAAGCACACACGTCTGGTCTGTTTTTCAAGCCCACAGGTCTGGGACTCGAACTGCGCATTAGGCTATGTTGGATCCAGTGCCTTAACTTCCACGCTACTTATTGGCACACAGAGCATAAACTTTATTTTGTTTTCTTTTTTAATTTGCAAGAGGACATGTACATTCACTGGAAAAAGAGAGAGAGAGGAAGCACCCCTCATGGGTCATGGCCAGCCACGCCCCAATCCCTTCTCTTCCATTTCTCCCTTAGGATTTTGGGTACGCATGCACGTGTCCAGTGCTGCTAGGTCTGGGACTTGAAGTGTACTGTCAGCCACGTGGGATCAGCTGCCTTCACTAGGCCACAGGCTGCCCCAAGAAGACAAGAGAGTGCAAGTTTTATTGGCCAGTCTGGAAAAAGTGTACGCAGAGAGTATAGGAAATGAACGTGCATTTTCCAGAACACTTGGAAAGAAGCAGAGCCCAGCCCTAACTGGTTGCGGGGGTTATGCTGGGCTGGGCCCAAAACTGTTGATCCTCCAGGATTTTTGGGGATCCTGTCTACATTAGGCTCTCCTGGGCAGGGTCTTCCTTCCAAAGGCCCTCGTCTAAATCAAATAACACTTTCTAAAACTAGGGCGGATGGACGATTGTACTTTCAAGAATCACAGAAACAACCTGTTTATTTTTTAACAAGTTTTATTTATTTTATTTATGCTAGGGAACAAGAGCAAGTGAGAGACGCACCCTTGAAAGGGGCCTGTCATGCTATGACCCTCTTTCTGCGGCCACAAACCTGTCAGGATCCTGGACAAAGACGCACAAGCCTGCCTGTTTTTCAGGCTGCCCCAGGGATCTGAACCCATGACCTGCCACGTGGCTTCCAGTAGTGCAGTTCAGTTTCTGCCAATTGCGATTCCTGGGCCTGTGCTTGCTGTTCTCCTTGTGCCCCTCCAGATCCAATCTATGGCCAAACCATGAAGTACTTTCTCAAGACCTCTGTGTTTTTGCCCCTGGGTCTATGTATATGTAGTTTTGTCACAAGATAATTAAGGGTCCTGCTGTGGATGGAAGAAAAGGCAGGAGGGAGACATTTCTCCTTCTAAATTCATGTCTGGATTTATGATGGTTCTCATTCTCTGGCCCTAACAGCTTCTTGGCTCTCGGAGGGGCATTTGTGCACTGACGGCATTGTTCGTCACGGAGCTGGGCTGGCTGGGCGCAGCAGTAACGCTCCTCAGGGCCGCTCCCTGTGGTCAGCAAGCCCCTCCTGTGAGCTTGCCTGGGAGGAGCAGTGCTTTGTATGACTGGCCATGTGTTTTGAGCTTCTGGGGACACCCTCACCGTTGGCCTTCTCTGTGCATGAAACATCTCTGCTCTTGTGTCTCTGAGGCCTCCCATTTGGCTTCTGTACTGTATCCAGGGACCCCAGAGCTCCGAATGAGGAGCAATCAGCCCTGCCTAGGGGTCTTTAGCTGTGCCCGCCCATCAGCACTGTCAGGTTCCACACCAGCGTCTTTGTGCTTCTTGATTGGGGCTCTACTCCAACTCATCCTGCCAACCTTACTTTCTAGGCAGTCTTCAGTTTTATGCAACTCTATTTTCTCTCTTAGGGCCACTCCCGCTTGGGTGCTGAGACTGCCAGAGCCTATGGCGTGTGTACTGATGACTACCATTTAAGTGTGGGGAATCTCTGACTGTCCACTCGTAGGAAATCCAAACAGCAGATGGTCCTCCTGCGTCGCTGGGACTAACTGTGACTGTGCTCACTAACAGTGAGTGCTATTGGAGTCCACAGGTAGGTGGCAAAAAGCTCTCAACTGCCAGCCAACTTAGAAGTCTTTCATAAGCAAAGTTGCTATAAGCTCTTGGTTAAGAGGCTATCAAAAGAAAAAAAAAGAAAAGAAAAAAGAAAAAATCCCCCCAAAACAAAAGTCCACGAAACCAAAGAAGAAGGCATATAGCAGCTCACATTTATATTTTTAAAAAATAATTTGCTAGAAGGTGCATGTGCTCTCCAGAGAGAGGGGAGGAAAATGAGAAAGCACTCTCTATGGGGGGGTGGTCATGCTGCAATCCGTTCTCCATTTCTAAGAGTTTGGGCATGCATGCACATGCACCCTGTGTTTCTGAAGCCGCTGGGTCTGGATTCAACCTGTGCAGTTAGTCCTGTGTGATCCAGCTGCCTTCACCACCATACCTCAAATTTACAGTTTAACTCTTCTATTCAGGGTCTCATCCCAATTTACAGTCTCCTTTTCAGGAGGAAGCGGGGATTAATGTTTGCAACTCTGGAAGCCCGAGATTCATAATTACCATGACTGGTACAGATATTCTTTTATTTTCTCAGAGCAGATGCGGGAGCCTGGGCCATAGCTGTGCCCGAAGCTCCCCTCATGTGCAAAGGAGGTATGGCCTCACTCCTGGGACACAAGTCAGGGGCAAGCAGAGGTCCTGGTGTAAGGAAGTGAAGCTCTCCTCCCCTGCCTGAAGGGTCTCCAGCAGGCCCTCATCTGGAAACAGCTTGGGCAGGGAGCTTCCTGCAAGGTCCGGCCGGAGCTGAGACTTGAGGTCGGGGTCAAGTGCAGGCTTCCTCTCATCACAGCCTCCGAGCCTTCCTGGGGCGGCAGCCGTTGTGTGGGATGGGGGTGTTGTCTGTGATGGAGATCACTTCCAGACCCCCCATGGTCAGCCCCTTGATGGCAGACTGGAAGGAGCAGAGGAAAAGCAGAATGGCATGGTCTCGCTGGTCATCGGCAATGACGATGCATCTCCAGACAGGGCTCAGAGAGGGATGTCGGGCAGGAAAGGGAAGGGAAGGGAGGACAGCGAGGAGGTCACTGGCACTGATACTTATAATCCCAGCCCTGGCTACTCTCAGAGGTCTCCACGCAAACCCAAACCCCTACCCAGGTTCCCAGTGCCGTCCACCTCTCACATCGCATGGCCACTTCCCAGCTTGTGCGTTACCGTCTGAGAACCAAGACCCCTGTAGACCTTGGCATGGAGCGTCATACCTCATCACACCCGCCCCCGCACCTCATTATTTTCAAAAGTCAGAGATGTCACCTCTTCAGGAATGCTAAAGATTATCCTTGCTAATGACCAGAAAAGGTCATCCCTGCTGGGTTCAGGACCCCCTACAGGCTCCAGACCTGGGCACACGCTTTGTCACCACATTCACCAGTGTGCACTGAGGGGTCCCCCCAGGGACCACCTTCCCATGCTCAGTGCCTGGCACAGAGCAGGCACCCCATCACTTGGTGAATTGAATTATCTGGTGAGCTAAACTAAATGATCTAGGCTCGCTTGAGGGGCTTGGTAAGTGACAGGAACAGCAGGAAGAAACGTGTAGCCATCACAGAGATTCACAAAGGAGTGCTTTTCCACTCTCTCCCTACCTGGCTCGCAAGCCCCAGTCTCCCTCACTAACTAAACAAAGCACGCGCACTGGGGAACCCGTCGCGGTCACTTACCAAGCGCCCTGGCCCCAGGCCCTTCACCACCACTCGGACATGGGTTATACCTTTCCCTATGGCTTTCTGGAGAGAAGTGGCAAGTGTTAGCACCCCACAGAGAAAACCAGGGCACCCCACCCTCTGCTGCTGCCTCCCGAAGCAAGAGAGCTCGGAGCTCCAGGGAGATGGCACGCACAGAAGAAAACAGGGAGGCAAAGGACAAGTAGGAAGCAAAGAATGGGCAGACAGCAGCAGGGACCACAGTGTTGGCAGTGGCGCAGACTTAGTGGACTGTGAGCCCTCTAGACAGGACAGCACTGCCACCTAGTGGAGATTTCAAAATACACTTGGATTTCCCTCGTGCGTACATGGTGCATTTCTGACCCTGAGGTGCCATTCTGGATTTTTAGACTGAGCCTGAACATCTACTTAGAAAGCGTTATTTAAAATCTTTACATTTTTCGGGGCTGGCAGGTGGCGTGGTGGTTAAGGCACTTGATTTCCATATGGCCAACTATGGTTTGAGTCCTGAACCTGGTGGCTTGCTATTTTACTTTCCCCTTCTCTCGCTCTGTCTGTCTCTTTGGTCAGATAAAAAGATAAAAAACAAATAAAATGAAATAATTTAAAAACCTTTACATTTTTCTTTCTTAATTATAAAGGCAATTTATTATGTAGAAAGTGGAAAATATACAGAAAGTATTTTTTAACCCACCAAACCACTGTTAACACTGACATTTTTCTTTCTTTCTTTCTTTCCTTTTTTATATTTGCTATTGAGGGTATGCACTTGCTGGAGAAAGAGAGCGAGAGAGAGGCAAAGTGAGAAGCACACCCCCTCCTTGAGGGGCATGACTACACCATAATCCCTTCCCTCTTCTTCTGTTGGGATTTGGGGCACACATGCACACGCACCCTGCATGTTTTCTGCGTCCGTGACTCAAATCACAGTTGGCCACATGGCAGGAATCCAGCTGCTTTAACCACCTTGGTGACCGTTCATTTCTTTCAACTGTATAGGATCTGCCCATGGAGGGGCATTTATAGCATTTTTATTTTCAATGATCATTAAACACAGCAGTCACTGTTACTGGGTATTGAGCTTTGAAAGTCAAGGTTTTCCTTCAGGAACTACTTCTGGTTTGGCTGGGTGTGAAAGTGTGTAAGGCCTATGCTACAGGAGAGAGTGTGCAGGCTCTGGTCTCCCAAGCCAATCTGGGTTTAGGTCAGGGGACGAACGTGTTGCATGGCTCTGAGCAGGTCACACTCACTGAATCTCAACTGGCTCTTGAGAATGTGGGTTATAGAATACATAGAGGATTTTCGGAGGATTTAGGATAATAAACACGAAGTTCCTGGTATATGGTAGATGCTCAATAAATACACTATAAGCCACACAATACCAACGTGCTTCTAGGAAGTTGCTACAATGGGTACTGCACGACAGTCCTCTTTACCTCGCATTCTCTCCAGATAGACGATTATCACCCCAACCTTACTCCACTGGTCTTTCTGACCAGAGGCTTTGTTTTTAAGCCTTTAGGATCCTGGAAAATTCTCAAAAGTGTTTCACCTCTAATGAAGCCAAGAGAAAGAAGAGAAGCTTTCTCACACTGCCCTCTTCAAAGTACTTCCAATGTCAGGGCACTTAGCAAAGGTTGGCGAACACCCCATTGCTTCTGAACGGCTAGTTAGTTCTGTGTGCAGGGATCAGCCATGCAGAAAGCGGAACATCCCAGAGGGCATCGGGGATTACACACTTACCACCGCCGCAGCTATGCCTGCCGTCTGTGCTGCAATGCCGGTGCCCTTCTTGGCGTTCCGGAACCCCTCTGTGCCACAGGAAGTGCGTGCGAGGGGCTGGTTAGCAGCAGAGACGACCTGGATCTGTGTGCTGGGAAAAGGAGGGCAGGCACAGGCTGTAACTATTATTCAGGGAAGCAGGAGAGAACTGAGCTCCATCCTTAGAAGTCCAGGTGAGGGGGAAAAAAAGAAATTCAGTTGCTTCCATTTCAAACTCATCAAATATAGGAAGTTGTGAGAAAAGGTCAGAATCATCCCTTAAACCCAACTGAAAAGTGACAGATCACATGATCTGAAGAAAGCTCCATAACTTGAGAGGGTTAAGCCTCATCCGGGAGAATAACGTGTTCTCCTCGGGGGTCTTTTTTATAGCATTTACGTTGGATGCAATTTCCTTAGATGTTTCACATTAGGTAATCTTTTTTTTTTCTTTTATTAAGAGGTTTTTGCCTTAGGGTGCATGTGCACATCAGAGAGAGAGGCAGATCCCAAGATCCCAAGAGGAGAATGGAGGAGAAGGGATTGCGGCGTGGCCATCCCCGCTGGGGGGTGATTTCTCGCTTTCTGTCTCTCTGTCTCTCTCTCTGTCTCTCTGGCGAGTGCACGCGCCCTATAGCAAAAAACCTCTCCAAAAAAAAAAAAGATAAAAAAAAAAATAACTTTGGATCAAGGAATAAGAGTGTTAGAAACACCAAAATGATGTAATATGCCTAGCTTGGTTTTAGGTAATGGTTTTATATTTTGTTTTTTTTTTTTTGTTTGTTTTTACGTCCTTTTTTAGAGATGTGCGCACATGCGCCTGGTGTGAGTTTTAAGCCACCGGGTCCGGGACGTGAACCGCGGTCCACAACGTGGGAGTCCAGCGACATAGCCATTACGCTAACTGCTGGCTCCCGATCCAAAGTTATTTTAAATAAGCAAAACTTCCTGGGCTGGCCCTATAGTGTAGTGGTTAAGGGAGCTGGATCTCACATGGTCCCACATGGTTGACGTGCAGTTCAAATCCCGGTTCCACGTGAAAAAACACACCGGGTTAGGTGTGTGCACACACTGGACACAGACACAGGTCGTTTCTCCAAACAAGAGGAAGCTGGGGAACACACCTCTACATTAGCACTATCCCGCGGCAGGCACCCTGCCTTCCACCCCAAGCATGGGATCCGGGGCCAGCCCTGGCCTTCCTTGTGCAGCAGAAAGAAACCCACAGCAGCCCTTCCAGGCTCTTCCTTTCGTGCTTACTTGTTGTAGGATGCTTTAATGTGTGCGATTGGGATCTCCTCAAATTTCTTCCCTGCCCACCTCAATGAGCACTCCTGTCCTGGAACTGGAGGGTAGATGCTGCAATCAGAAGAAACATTACATTTAAAATTGTCCTGATTTTTTTTTTTTTTTTAATTAAAGAGAGACATCCTTTTTTTTTTTTTTCTTTCTCTTTTTTTCTTTTTGAGAGGTTTTCGCTATAGGGCACGTGCTCTCTCCAGAAAGACAGCAAGAAATCACCCCCTTAGGGGGGATGGCCATGCCACAATCCCTTCTCTTCTATTCTTATCTCGGGATCTTGGGCACCGCACGCACACGCGCCCGGCGTGAGTTTAAGCCACCGGATCAGGGACTCAAACCACGGTCAACTACATGGGAGTCCAGCGACATAGCCATTATGCCAACTGCTGGTCCCGAGACCTCCATTTTTTTTTAAAATATAGGTAAGGCCTTAATGAAAATCAACAGCTATGTCTCATCACTGACAGAGCTGCCCTCCGTGCCTTTTAACCATGTGAGCTGCCACCAAATCTGTGAACATGTGGGCTGCGATGGGGCTAGTTCTTGCCTTGTCAACTCTGGTTGAATCTAGTGATTCTCTGCTATGTGAAAAGAGAATGTAATCTAAACTCTCCATCTTCCCTGGTCTCTACTGTCACAGTGTAATCATGTCATTGCTTTCATTTCCCCACAGGCTACTCTTCCTGCAGTTTAAGAAATACAGTCCAATCTCTGTTTCTTACATCATCAACCATCTTGACTCTTCTTTATAAAAAAAGAGAAAATACTTTTCATACCCATAATATCATTATTTAAAAAAAAAAATCCAGGATCCCCAAGAACAGAGGTTAGCAAACTTTATGTGTAAAGGGCCAGACAGTATTTTAGGCTTTGCTGGACAAGAAGTTTGTCTCAATTACTCAAGTTTGGCACCTTATCATGGAAATAGCCATAGATAACAGGTGTGGGTGTGTGCCAATAAAACTTCATTTATAAACACGGGCAACTGTTGGGGCCATAATCTGTATTCCAATAAAACTTTATTTATAAAAACAGGCAACCATGGCCATAATCTGCCAACCTCCATCTGAGTCTATAGGCTGAACATTAGCATCCCCTGTGAAACATCCAGGTTTAAGCTCCACCCCAACTTCTGGATGGGGTCTGAGAACGTACCTTTCAAAAATCCCAGGAGAATCAGATGTGAACTCAAGGTTTAGAATGAACATACTACGTTGAGTTCACAATCGTTCACTGTCCTAGTCCAGTCTGTCGTCTGGTTATCTCTAGTAAGTACTCTATTTTCAGATGGAGAAAATGAGGCACAGAGAGGGGAATAAGGTTAGCACGGGATGCCCGGCCTTGAACCTAAGCGATCTTCCTCGGTTTAGGGCCTTGCTCACCAAGCTGTGCTTTTATAAAATTCACACACACAGTTGTCATTCAGCATTCAAGACCCGAGTGTTCCTGCTGTTCTGCTGTGCTTGTACCCACAAATCAGATTCATGTCGGTACCCCCCACAGCCACCTGAAGTATGAGGGATTTCATTTAGAAATTATACTATTATCTGAGCACCATTCTCCCCCCGATCCTACCTGCTTTCCTACAGATATATTTAAAAGCAAAACAAAACAGTAACGCGGTGGTGTTCAAAGGCTAAGAGTACGTTCTTTACTGAGGGCCTGATTTCAGAGATGATTTAGAACCTCAGCAGGTTGTTCGCTTATCAGGCTATAAGCACAGACAGAAAGTGGATGAGTCTCTCAGATGGCACTGATGTTTAAAAGATGATTAATCTCCCCCATTGACTTGGTCAGAAAACAAGTCTGCTGGCCCAGCCTCTCTGTCGCAGCTGGTAGGTTACTGGACTGGAGAGCTGAAAGCCATATGTCCATCATGGTTGGAATGTCTAATTCTTGTGTTTGGGCCTAGGATCCTGGAAGGCTAGAGGACTGGAGGAAGGGGACCGCAGTGTGGGCAGGCCCTGGAGAGGGTGCTTGTCTCTTTGGGGGCATGCATGTGCTCTGTCATTTAAAGTACCATACAATACAGGAGGCAAGCAGGTGGTGTGGTGGTTGAGGGCGTTGGACTCCCATATAGTTGGCCATGATTCAAGTCCCGGCCCTGGTGGCTTGCTTTCTCACTCTCTCTTTCTGCCTGTCTCTCAAATAAAAATAAAATAAATAAAATAAAATGATGATAATAAATAAAGTTAAATAAAAATAACTCTTAAAAATATAATACAGGGACCAGCAGTTGGTGTAATGGCTATGTTGCTGGACTCCCATGTAGCCGACCATGGTTCGAGTCTTGGACCCGGTGGCTTAAACTTAGGCCGGGTGCATGTGTATGCCTGCCCAAGATCCCGAGAGGAGAACGGAGAAGGAATTGCGTTGTGGCCATCCCCCCTGGGGGGGTGATTTCTTGCTTTTTGTCTGTCTTTCTGGTGAGCATATGTGCCCTATAGGAAAAACCTCTCCCCACCCCACCCCCCCAAAAAATACAATACAGTCAAATCCACCAGTCTATCAAAGTCTGAATGTAACCAGTGTAATGCCTTTGTACACAAGTTTGGAACTGGAAAGAATCTAGACTTGGAGCCACTTAATCAAAGATACAAGCTCCCACTTTAAAACTACCCAGAATCAATGCACAAACCAAGACATGGTTCACCCCAGGGGAGCCAGAAAAAGGAAAGTCATCGTTTCAGGCAGGGCACTGCCACTTCTCCACACCCATCCTCACACCAGGGAAAAGTAAAGAGCCAACCCGTTGCTCTAAGTGCTGCTAGAGACAGTTTTAAAAAATGCAAAGACCATGCCTCATGGCTTGCTTCCCTTAACACTAATCCTGTCAGACCTACTGGGGATGATTTCAGTTCAGTAAGATTCTTCCAACTCCTTGGCTACTGTTTCTCAATCTCCATTAGTGACCAGGTGCCCTCTCTCCTACCCCGGCTACTTATCCTGCAGTCATACCTAGTCCTTGTGACTACTGATACTGCAACCCCATCAGAAGCTTGGTTTCAAGCTCAGTACTCTCTGGCCATCACTTCCTGGCTCTCTCTGCTGCGGTTACCCCAGGAACTCTTCAGTCACACAAAGAACCACAATCCACTGATCCGACCAGCTCTCCCCTACGCCTCACATTCCTCACTTGACTAAATCCCATGGCCAGTCATGATAATTATCCCCTCACATACAACCTCCATTTCCTGCCCACTTCATTGTATTCTCCTAGGACACTGCCAACCCTGGTTAAATCCATCTCTCCAGCCACTCTGAGCCTGTACACGCATCTGCACAGGTGGCTGGAGGAAAAGGCAAAGCATTGCTGACTTGCGCTCTCTCTCTCTCTCTCTCTCTCTCTCTCTCTCTGCCTGAGATCTATCTCAGGTCAGGGCTTTGCTCCCCAAGCTGTACTTTTATAAAATGTTCTCAATTTCAGCACTGTTAATACTTGGGGCAAGATAAATCTTCCTTGTAGGAGGCTGCCCTGTGAAATCGTCAAGGGTTTAGCAGCAGCCCTGGCTTCTACCCACCAGATCCTGTTGCCCAGAGATCGCTAAGTTTCTTGTAGGCAAAACTGCTCCCAGCAGAGAACCATGACTATTTTAATGACATCTGGCATCAAGTGGGCCCTCAGCATTGCCTGGCAATCATATAGCACATCCCCTAGTTCAAACAGCCTTCTGTTCTGAAGGAAACTCTTTTATACCTTCTTTTGTCTCCTCAACCTCCCACTCCTTCCTGCTTTTTCACTGCCAGCTGATGACCCTCAGAGAGAAATAGAAGCAATCAGAATTCCCTCCAGCTCCCACAATCGGACATCTGTGCCCAGTCTTTGCCATCTCTGCTGTGAAGGCGCCACTTGTGCACTGGCCCAAGGACATTGCTCCAGCAACAGTCCTGATGCAGTGTCACCGTTCTTTGTCCCATTTACGGCATCATTCCTATCTACAAAATAGACCATCGTGTCCCAAGCCCCAAACACAAAAAAAACCCCCAAAACTTGAACTCAGAGCTCCCAGAGCCTCTTCTTTTTTCATTAACTGAATCCACATTAAATCCAAAACTTGAAGGCCAGATGGTGGCGGTGGTAAAATGTGATGCTCTGAAAGGCAATCCCACATGGGAAGGTTCCTTGTTCAAGTCTGGAGACCTAAGCATGCTGGGCACATGCCCACCTGGGGCTGGCTGGAGGCTGGGGGTGAATCAAGACATCAAAGTCCTGGTGAGGAGTGCTGTCCTTCTGTGTTATTTATGTAGGACATAAACTTAAGAGAATCGGGAACCAGCAGATGGTGTAATGGTTACCCTGCTGGACTCCCATGTGGTTGACTGTGGCTTAAAACTCATGCCAGGCATGCGTGCACGAGTGCTCAAAACCCCAAGAGGAGGATGGGGGTTATTTCTCTCTTTCTGTCTGTCTCTGTATCTCTGGTGAGCACATGCACCCTATGGCAAATATATCTCAAAAAAATTTTAAAAAAGGAAAATAAGAGGGCTGGCCCATGGCCTAGTGGTTAAGTGACCTGGATCCCACTTGGCTAACAAGATGGTTCTTAGTTGCCTACTTCTTATGGTTTAATATCAACATAGTGGTCAAAGATTACCTTTAAGATCATCTCAGCCTTCTACTTAAAACTGTCGAGTGGCTTCTCACTACACTCAGGAGTGAAACATGAAGTCCCCAGTGGGGCAGAGTCATGCCACAATCCCTTCTCCTCCACTTGTCCATCTCGTCAGGATTTGGGGCATGCACACATGCGTGCCCAGCATGATTTTCAAGCCACCACGGCCAGCATTCCAATGATGTGGTTGGCCATGTGGGACTCTTAACCAGTAGGCTGCAGGGGCTGGCTCTAGCCAGTGTTTACCTCAATTATACTACTGATCTGATAAAACATATACATGTCTGTCTTCCCTGGAAGACGGTGAACTACTTGTGGCAAAAATCTTTTGTGTTTGTGTTCTCAGCACCGTGTAGAGTGACTCCACATTGTAGGTTCATTTTAGTATGTTTGTTAAACGGATGTGAAGGTAAGTGGGTGTGTATGCAGCTGCCGCACAGGGGTGGTGGCCTTGGTGGGAAGCAAGATGCCATTCCCTATAGCTGAGCAGAAAATCGGACACAGACTCACTCTAAAAAGTGTATGATAATCTGTTCCACAACACAGTACCTCCTCTTCCCATGTGTGTCCAAGGCAGCAAAGAGTTTTAGTCTGCCATCATCACCAACTCAGAAGAGAAAGCTAGTATTAATTCCACACGTGACATTCACTCATTCATTCAACAAATGTTCACTAAGCATCTACTTATGTGCCAGAGTTCATCTCATTTGAGTCTCACAACAACCTCTCTCAACAGTATCCTCATTTTTAGATGAAAAGCTGAGGCTCGAAGATCGAGTTGCCTAAGATCCTGTAGAGGGTAAGTGACAAGAGTTGGGAGATTCACTGTTTATCTGCCTTCGGAGGGTGGGGGGGGGGAGCTTTTAGGGTTTTCTAAAAGCTGGACCTAAAAGGGCCTTCACCTGAAGCTGCTACTGCTCGGGGCCACCACCTTCTCAACTTCTTTCTTGGCCGCCGCGTCTTGCAGCTCTTGGGCGCCGGTGTGGATGATCCGGGCGGACGTCCCGATCACGGCCCTGGGGGAAAGGAGAGCTCGGTGAGGTCCAAGCTTGACCGTAAGGGAGACCCCAGGTGGATCATAGGACACAGCCAGTCCTGAGAGTGGCGGCGGGCTCGAGGGAGGCCACTCACTCATACCGATTTGTCCGGGCGCAAGCCCATGATCGCAGAAGCCAAGACCCCGCGCTTCTCGCCGCCTGCATGACTAGAATTGACCCCAGTCGGATGCCGTTGGCGGCCTCGGGCACTGCGGGAGCGGCGCCAGCACCATGAGCGCCCGTGGGGGAGGACACAGAAGGAAAAGGCATCTAATTGCTCCCCATAAGGTCCATCAAATATCCGAATCCTATTTACACGCTCCATGAAGCCATGTTAGCTGGTTTACTTGGCCATCGTCTGTCCTTTTGATAATCTTACATGAGCTCTCCACCACCCCCCGTATTGGAATGGTTCATTCTAGTAGGTCCCGGGAATGAGCGCGGCCCATTTGTCCGTTCCCGCGCTGCCTTGTGGGAACACGGGGTTGGCTGAGACTTCAGGAGCCGCGTTGCATTGTGGGAGGGCAAAAAGATGGCGCTGCCGGCGGGGCGGCGTCTGTGTGAGGTTGCTAGGGGCTGGCGGCGGTTCGGGGGCCTGTGGGCCGGCAGCCTGGGTTCTCGCCGCCTGGCCCTTGGGGCTGCACCCTCAAGCAGCAGGTCCCCGTGGCGCCTCTTGGGTGCGTTGTGCCTACAGCGGCCACCGCTAGTGTCCAAACCTCTGACCCCTTTACAGGAAGAGATGGCGGCTCTGCTGCAGCAGGTAGGGCTGAGATGCGGGCTTCAGGGTGAGGTTGGGAAAGCAGCCGCAGAACACCCGTGCCTGGGTTCTTCCTCGACTCCGGTACCTTGAAGAAGTCATTTCACCTCCCAAGTATACCTATCTGCAAAATAGTACTAAGTAGACATTCAGTAAAGTTTGTTTTCACGGGCAGTGCTTCGGAGGCGCTGCCCTCCCCGTTCATTCGGCATAGCACGATACAGGTCAGCCCCTGTCACAAGGAGCTCAGAGTCTGGAGGAGAGGACGCCTTTGTGGTGCGATTAGTGTTAGGAAGTACAGGGGGCCAGTGGACACATTTGGAAGATGTCTGTGATCAAACCTGGCCTGTTTACCTCCCAGGGCTGCTGGTGTGAAGGGCAGGTGACGACAGGGCAGAGTGAGTGTAGTGGTTGTGAGCCTAAGTCCACAGATAGTGACAGACGGGTATGTTTCCCCAGAGTCTGAGGTTTTTGTTTTTGTCTTGGGCTCCTGAGAGCTATAACTTTCCCTTCCATGCTTTTTGCTGAATTTATTCATTTATTCACACCCCTCCCCCCATATTCATATTCACTGCGCACATACCGTGTACCATAGAGATGCAGTAGTATAGTCTTGGTTCTCAGACAGTCTTGAGTCTAGTGGAGTGAGGGGGTGGTGTGGTTAATAACTTATCCCCCTGGGGAGTGGCATAGTGGTTAAGGTGCTTGACACTCCCACATGGGCGACGACGGTTCAAGTCCTGGACCTGGTGGCTTGCTTTCACACTTTGCTCTCTCTCTCTCTCTCTGTGTCTCTCTCTGGTCTAATTAAAAAAAATGAATGAATGAGTAAATAAGTAAATAAATAAAAATAACTAATCCCATGACTAATTGCATATTCCGGCAAGTTTTGTAAAGGAATTACATTAATATAAACGTGTTTAAAAGGACATCTCTAGTTTTGATTTTATGGGAGATGTTAGGGGATGTCTCTTCAAAAAGGTGGCATTTAAATAGAGATTAGAAGGATGAGTAGACATCTCACAGGAGAAAGTGCATTGGAGAAAATATGATCAGAAGGAGGAACAGCATCTGTAAAGTCTCTGAGACAGGAAGTCCTTGGTGAGTGAAATTCTGATCAGACTGACATAACTGGAATTTGTTAAGTGAGCAGGCAATGCCTGTCCCAGTCTTCTGTTCTTCGTCATAGTCTTGATTCCCAGTCACATTCTAACATTCTGGCAAATGTAACTCGAGTGCTCAAGGTGCAGGTAGCTTTTCTGTTTTTTTTTTTTTTTTTTTTTTAAATCACCTGTTTTCTCTTTGTGTGCTGTGCCCCATCTCCCAGGTTTGTTTATTTATTGGTTCAGAAAAGTCATGATGTATTTTTCTCTTTCTATGCAAAAATGCATTATGACTTTACTGACAACCCAATATTTCTGTAAGCCATAGAGGCAGAGAGAGTGAGAGAGAGAAAAGGAGGTGAGGGGAGGGAGAGAGAGAGAGAGAGAGAGAGAAAACACCAGTACCCCCAGCAGGGCCCTGGCTCTGCAGTCCACTCTCAGCCTTCAGCCCGCCCTGGCAAGCCTGTGCCCTGCACACCTAGGGAGGTCTGTGGATTTGAACGGGAGCCTGCCCGCGTGGGATTCCTTGCAGGGCATTGTGTTTTACTGCTGTGCCATTGTCTGGCCTCTGTGTGCTGTTTTGATCATATGTGAGGTTATGTCGAGTGATAAACTTCTGAATCAGTCAAGTGTGCTATAGCTATGTTTTTTTTCTTCCTATGCTTTGTCCTTTGCATTTTAGTTTTTTGCCCTCTTAATTTTCCTAGATTGAGATAGAAAAAAGCCTTTATTCAGACCATGAGCTTCGTGCTCTAGATGAAGCCCAGCGACTGGCGAAGAAGAAAGCCGACCTCTATGATGACGAAGATGAACAGGGTATATTGCTGGTGCAAGATCTGGAAGATATGTGGGAGCAGGCGTTCCTGCAGTTCAAACCTGGCGATCGTGTAACAGGTTTGTGGTTCTTTTAGGCCGGAAAGAAGGGAGAGAAATATTGGTGTTCTGCTTCCTAAATAAAGGGCATTTGTTTAGCTCTTGTTTTGTGTTTTAAACAAATAGTTTCAAATAACAAAACTTCTTTCAGGTGGGAAGAAAATTCTTTTCCTACTCTTCACATCTACCCTAATTTTTAAAAGCTGTATGTTATTTCTGAGTGAGGGTGAGGGTGTTAAGAATGGCCTTTCTCTCTTTCCGTTGCACTTTATGGGCATCACCTGAATTTAGCTCCTACTTTGGGAACAATAGTGGAGGACATGAAGCCTTTTCCCACCAGGCCCTGTGTTTTATCTGAAATGCTTTTAAAGGAGGGGTTGAGTTGTGTTATCCTCGTTTCATAGATGAAGACTGGAGAACAGAGAAAGTGGGGGCTAGGTAAGGCAGTGATTGTGCCCAGACCAGTGAAGCAGCCATGTTTGGGTTAGAGCATGCGATGCTCCGTGGCTCTCTTCAGGGGAGCAGAGCCCTTGGCTTCCTCTTGGCTTTGGTTTCTGGGTTTCTAAGCTGAACGAGGCCAGAGTTAGAGAGGTGGAAGGGGTTGTAAGTTGGCTGTCGGCCCTGAGAGCAGGGATTGTGATTCTCCTTTAAAGGACGACCGGCAAACCCAGAGCTCCATGATTCTGGCAGATCAGTTTTCTTACCCTCCACTGACCCATTTTCTCCCTAGAAGCCGATAAGAAGGATGACCGAACCTCACTACACCGGAAGCTAGACAGGAACCTCGTCCTGTTAGTCAGGGAGAGGCTTGGAGACCAGGATGTTTGGATGCTGCCCCAGGCAGAGTGGCAGCCCGGGGAGACCCTCCGAGGAACAGCTGAGCGAACCCTGGCAGCACTTTCAGGTGAGTTTTCTGCCTTCTCTAAATCCCACGAGATTCATTTTGGACTCAGCCAGAGGATTGGCGGGCTCACTGTGAGAAGGCCTTAAGAGTAACAGGTTAATGGAAACCGATGCTTCTAAACATTTCAGCTGTAAATATCCAGGTAGGGATTTTCCTTAGACTATATGGGAGTCTTACCTTTGTCCCTTTTTTAAGTTTAATATAATCAAAATGTATGCTTCTGCCATTCTCTCAGCCTGCTTCTCTTTTTAGCTTTTGAACCATAATTATCAGCTCCACTGCTTGTCCATTCACTCATTTAGAAACCTTACAGTTGGGCTAGCCCATGGCATGGTGGTTAGGGCAGCTGGATCCCACATGGCCAATTGTGGGGTCAAACCCAGACCTGGCAGCTTGAAAAACATGCTGGGCACATGTGTGTGCATGTCTAAAATCATAGGAGGAAGAAATGGAGAAGGGATTGTGGCGTGATCATTCCTCATAGCGGATGCTTTCTTACTTTCTCTCATTTTCTATCTCCTGTGAGTACATGCAACTTCTGGCAAAATTAAGAAAAAAAGAAAAGAAACCTCATAGTTATCTTTGACCTCATTTTGATATTCGTTAATCCTTGGCTCACCTGGTGCATTCTAAACAGCCCTCTTTATTTCCATAGCTTTAGTTGTGACCCCTTTCCATTCTCAAAAGAGCAGGATTTCTCAGCTTTGGGATTATTGATGTTTGGGCCTAAATAGTTCTTGGCGAGGGCACTGTATAAGCCGTTCAGCAACATCTTTGGCCTCTATCCACTAGATACCGGTAGGACAGCCTCATCCCACCCACGCTGACCCCTAGTGTGACAACCAAAAATATATCTAGATATGGCTAAATATTACCTGGGGGGCACATTTATAGTAGTCAAGAACTACTACACTGGACGATTAAAGTAGATGCCTAAATTCTCCCGTGCTTTGGAGTCAGATCCTTCAATAATGCCAAAATGAGCTTTTCAAAACAAAATCCTTTGTCAGTTCTCTGCATAAAATTACTATTTTTTTCTCTAATGCCAGAGAACACATGTACATGAGAGAGACAGAGAAAGGAGAGACATTCTCCACTGGGGTCTGGACATGCCACAATCTTCCCCCCTCCCCCATTTCTTTCATCCTGTGAGGATCCTAGATTTGCAGGGCTGTGCATGGGCTGTGTTTCGAACCTACACAGCCAGGATTTGAACCCTGGTTTGCCACATGGGATCTGGCTTCCCTTTCGCATGTGCCTTGCTGTGCTATGGGGCTGGCCCTATCTAGTGTTCTTAAAAGGTTTTCCATACAAATTCACACTCTCATGCATGGCCTACACATCCTTTTGCTCCAGTTCCAACCTTACCGTCTTCCATCTTGCTGCCTGTTAATGTATATTCCAAGTGCTGCCTAGCAAAATCCTTTCGCAATGCTTGACTAATGTGGTCTTTCACATGTCTCTGCTTTGGGGCATGCTGCTCTCTGATGGAATGCGTGACTCCTTCCTGGCCAGACTGCAGTAGTTTAAGACTCAATTCGTACATTATACCTTCCGGGATGGAACCTTCCCCAGACCTCCAGGTGGAGACAGCGCCTCCCTCTAGGTCCCCCTGGTGCCTGTGTGTGCCCTTATTCAGTTTACACAAGGAGCATTTACTTCATGCCTGCCGTTTGCCGGGCCCTGTCCAGGTAGCGGGATTACTGTGACAAATGATTCACTGCCCCTGCTCTCTGGGAGTCTGGGACCCAGTGGAGAACGTGCTCTCTCACTGTGCCATTTCCCTCTGCCAGAATTTCAAGTTCCTTGAAGGTATGAGCAGTAGCAATTCCTCTCGTGATTCTGGCTCCCGGCTGAGTACCTGGTACCTAGCAGATACTTGCTGAGTGTTTGTTGAGTAAACGATTTGATGGTGTGGGTACACAATCACGTCCCTGGCCCCGCCACCAGCTCAAGTACCTCTTAGTGAAACGTCAGCAGCTGGTGTGTGCCCTTTCCCCCTTTTCTACAAGGGCACTGTGTGGTCTTCAGGAGAGGCATGAAGACAGAGTGGAATACGGGGGCGTTACTGTCCTCTCCGTCTTCCTCAGTCACCATCTGGGCTTTTTGTCAGGGTCATTTGTTCTGTCCAAGTTCCCAGCCTTCCTCACATCTAACACCATGACGATGCCTGTTCAGCATCACCTCCTGTGTGCCACGTGGACAGGGCACTATAATTTTCTCTTTATATTCCCTTTCTATGGGCCCAGCAGATGGTGTAGTCGTTGTGTCGCTGAATTCCCACATGGTTGATCGTGATTCAAGTCCTGGACCTGGTGGCTTCGAAATCATGCTGGGTGCCTGTTCATGCATGCCCAAGATCCCAGGAGGGGGATGGAGGAGAAGGGATTGCAGAGTTGCCATACCAGCTGGGGATGATTTCTCACATTCCCTGTCACTGTCTCTGTCTCTCTCTGGCAAGCGTATTCGCCCTAAGGCAAAAAAAGAACTAAAAAAAAAAAATTCCCAAAATGGAAAAATGAAAAAAGATATTAAAAGATACATTTGCATATCATAGATGCATGTAAAATTAAATATATTGATTTATTGCAAATATACTAATTATAGATTTAGTAAAATGTCAAAAGAAAAACTCAAACAATATGAGTATATGTGAGGGGACCAGCAGATGACTTAATGGTTACTGACTGACTGTGGTTTAAGTCCTGGACCTGTTGGCTTAAACCTCACAGTGGGCATGTGTGTGTGTCCAAAATCCCGAAAGGAGAATGGAGGAGAAAGGATTATGGCATGACCATCTCCCCTGGGGGGTGATTTCTTGCTTTCTGTCTGTCTCTCTGGTGAGTGGACATGCTCTACAGCGAAAATCTCTCTTAAAAAAATAAAATGAGTATATGTGGGGACGCCATTTGTGGAATAAGAAATTTAAAAAATTCATTCATTCATTCATGTTTTTCCCTATGGATATTTTCCAGAAACTTTTAGAAGACCCTTGTATATATTTTAAAAAGTGAAAATACATTTCTTAACCACTGATGGGATGGAGAATTGGAGGAAGAAGGGTCGTGGCATGATCAGCCCCCACTGTGGGATGCACGTGCTCTCTTTTTCTGTCTCTGACTGCGTGTGCTTATGCATCCTCCTGCATTAACAAAGAAAGGCTTAGCTTATGCTTTATTAACACTAGCGTATTATGTATAATATGTATGTGCTGTGCTTTGTTTAACCAGTCTGTTTTTACCAAAGCTGCAGTGGGCATCTGTATTCACTCATCTTTGCTCACAGGGACACATAAGTGTAGTGGGGAGGACAGAGCTGTAGAAGTAGAGGTGCAGGATCAGAGTATGTGCAGTTCAAATGGATAAATGTTGCCAAATAATAGTAATAAATATTCATTTATGCCCTTGTATTCTCACAAGCAATATATAGCTCAGAATTTTTGAACTTCCTTGATAATATATTACTATTGTCTTAGTTTGTATGGCTTTAATTATGAATAAGATTGAGCACCTTTTAATGTGCTTGTATGCCATCGATACTTATTTTCATGTGAGCTTCCTCTTCATATGCTTGGTTCATTTTTCTTTGGGATCTGTTGGTTTTTTTTTGTCATTGACTTCTATGTGCTTTTTTTTTTTTTTAATAAAGAACTATTTGTTTTACTTACTGTTTTCTTTTAAAATTATTTAATTTTATTTATTCTTTCATTTATTTTAATTTGACCAGAGAAAGACACAGAGAAAGAGAGAGGAAAAGTGAGAAAGCAAGCCACCAGGTTTGGGACTCAAACCATGGTCGACCATGTGGGAGTGTCTAGGGCCTTAACTACCACGCCACCTGCTGGCCCCATATTGTTACTTTTTAAGTTGCTGTAGGACACATGTGCTCAACACAGACAGACAGAGATAGAGAGAATGAGAAAGTGAGAAAGCAAGCCACCAGGTCCGGGACTTGAACATGGCTGGCCTTATGGGAGTCTAGTGCCTTACCCACTATGCTACCTGCTGGCCCCTCTATGTGCTTCTTATACCTTAGGATTTAATTCCTTTGTTGAATGTGTTGAAGCTAAAATGGATAAATGTTCTTGGTTTGTCATTTTGTCTTTGACTATTTTTGGTGCTTTATTTTTTCCTTTTAGAAAGATTTAATTCTTTTTTTGTTTGTTTTAGAGGTTTTTGCTATATGGCACGTGCGCTTGCCTGAAAGACAGAGGGAGACAGAGAGACAGAAAGTGAGAAATCACCCCCCAAGGGAGATGGTCATGCCATAGTCCCTTCTCCTCCATTCTCCTCTCGGGATCTTGGGCACACACATACATGCGCCTGGCATGAGTTTAAGCCACCGAGTTCGGGACTCGAACTGTAGTTGACTACATGAGAATCCAGCGACATAGCCATTACGCCAACTACTGGTCCCTAGAAAGATTTAATTCTTATGTAGATAAAATATGTATCTTTTTTCCCTTTGGATTTTTGAATTTTGTGTCTTGCTTAGAAGGGCCTGTCTCAGAAATTACACAGAAAGTTTTACCCTTTTCTAAAAATGAAAAATAAAAAAATACTCAAGAATTCAGAAAATAATAAATGTCTATGACACCACCAGCTAGAATGAGCAGACCTTTGATGAAAATAATTGTGTTGTTACATTTTTGATCTGCGTGGTATCAATTTATTTTTCGTCTCGTTTCCTTTAATGCCTGAGAGTACGTGCATATGTCAGAAAAGAGAACGAGAGAAAGAACCCACTGGTGGGGCCTAGTCTTTCAAAACCTTTGTTCCTCCCTTTCTCTACCCATTCGGATCCTGGGCAAACGTGCACACATGCTGGATGTGCTGTCACCAGGGCTGGGATGTGAACTGCAGTAGTGGCATCTGGCTTCCTTTGAACAGTGCATAACCAGTGCTCTGTGAGGCCAGGCCTAGGTGTGTCTATTTTGATGTCAGGACTGAGGTTTCGATCCAGTTCTATTTTCCCCGTTTAGGTAGCTAGGTCCTCAAATGCCAATTAGTGATTAATCCTTTTCCTCACCCTCTAAAATGTGGGTTAGAGTTATTAGCCTTCACTTGTAGACTACAGCTATTGTCTGCCCATCTGCTTTCGTCTTAACTTGGTTTATGACATTTTTCAACCTACATAAATCAAATCTGATGCCTTTTATGTTTTCCATGACATCTCTTTTCTTTCTGTTGGAGGATGCTTGCGCTCTCCAGAGATAGAGAGAGACAGACAGAGAAAAGACAAAGCATCCCCCCGTGGGAAATGTAATCCTTTCCCTTCCCTCTCTCCCTTCTTTCGGGATTTGGGTCCAGTGCCTGGTGTGTTTCTCAAGCTGCTGGGTCTGGGACCTGCACTGCATGCTTGGCCATGTGGGGTCTGGCCGTCTTAATCAGGAAGCAGAGCTGGCCTGGTATCCCTTTTCAAGGCTGACAAATTTGACAGAGACCAGGTGTCCTAGGCCTTCATCAGCAGGCGGCGACTGGGCTGAACGTGGAAGCTGGCTGCTCTGACCCCAGGCAGTGTCATTGTAACTGCATGACTGACCTCAGTCCAAAGGCAGTAGCGTCGCACCTACGAACAAACCCTGAGAATCCGGACTCCGTTGGCCAGGAAGAAGCTTTTGGATCGAGAGGGGAGGAGCGTTTCCAGTCACTCCTCGGGATTGCTTTTTCCTCAGTGCCTGATGTGCCTCTCCCCAGTACGCCTATGATATTGAGAGCCAGAGTAAACAGAGGAGTATATCCTTATCTTCCAACCGGTTGTTCTTTTTCCCTCTCAGAAAACAACATGGCGGCCAAGTTTCTAGGAAATGCACCCTGTGGGCACTACAAGTTCAAGTTCCCTCAGGCCATGCGGACAGAGGGTAACCTTGGGGCCAAAGTATTCTTCTTCAAAGCACTGTTACTAACTGGAGACTTTTCCCAGGCCGGGAAGAAGGGCCCTCATGTGTGGGTCAGTAAGGAGGAGCTGGGTGACTATCTGAAACCGAAATACCTGGCCCAGGTTAGGAGATTTCTTTGGGACCTCTGATGGACTGAGCTGCCCATGGACTGTGCTTTGACAAGGCTGTGACCAGGGCCTCAAGGACGTCGTGTGGCTGGCCCACATCTGCATGGAATGTCAAGCATCAGACTGAATTCTGAGAAATAAACAAGTGTGTCACTGTGTCGGTCTCAGTTGATTTGCCTTCACTGTCTCCCAGAGAAGACAGCCGTCTTTAGGGGGCCTTTCCATTTTTCCCAACTGATAATTGGGTATTGTATTTGTTTATAACGAATCAGCTGGCGTATGGGGCCTAGGGAGTAAGAACCAAAGAAAATAAATCAGCCTTTTAAAAATCTTGAAGTCTGTGAAATTTATGCCCATGAGAAAAAACTAGTTTTGAATTGTTTCTTAGCTGTACTCGTTTTATTCTTCCTTTCCACTTGGTATGAAGGTGTTTTAATCTAGTGTAGGAAATAATTCATTTTTCCTTCCTCCTTCCCTTTCTTCCTTTAAAAATTTTTTTCTATTTAAAAAGGCTTACTTGTGCCTACCCGTTTTCAAACAGTCATGTGAAATAGGCGAGGTCCCCTCGACTCCGTTCTGCAGATGGAGCAGTCATGGCCAGGTCGTGGCTTGCCTGAGTCCTTCATTTCCCTGATGGCGCTGCAGGAGAACGTTGATCTGCTGCCTTCTGGGTTGGGTCTCTTGGCTCTTCAGTGTGTTCTTTGAGTCAGCGCTGGTCCCCAGCTTCTGGCACGTGGAAGGCACTCAATAAACACTTGCTAAATAAGTGGGAGAGAGAGGAGGGTCTCCGGCATGCCTCTGCCTGGAATAACGGTTCCAGTAGGAAGGCTGCCATCCTGGGTCCCTCCAGACTCTCCTGTTTTCTTCTCAGACTGGCCTGTGTGGTGTGAGCTTGTGGGAGGGATTTCTGTTTCTGCCTCAGACATAGCCTGGTGTTCTTACCTGGGATCAAGGAAATGGTTCTCTGGCGAGAATGGGGGAGCCTCGTCCTGATACCCGTCTCTTAGCCCTTCGCCTCCTGCACCTGCTCTCTCATTACTGACGGGAGCTGTCCCCTGGCTGGGGCTTGCTGGTCACGAGCAGTGGTGGCACTTGACAGTGAAGCCTGGGCACAGCCCTGGAATGCCTTAGTCTTCACTCCTCGGGATTGCTTTTTCCTCAGTGCCTGATGTGCCTCTCCCCAGTACGCCTATGATATTGAGAGCCAGAGTAAACAGAGGAGTATATCCTTATCTTCCAACCGGTTTTTCTTTTTCCCTCTCAGAAAACAACATGGCGGCCAAGTTTCTAGGAAATGCACCCTGTGGGCACTACAAGTTCAAGTTCCCTCAGGCCATGCGGACGGAGGGTAACCTTGGGGCCAAAGTATTCTTCTTCAAAGCACTGTTACTAACTGGAGACTTTTCCCAGGCCGGGAAGAAGGGCCCTCATGTGTGGGTCAGTAAGGAGGAGCTGGGTGACTATCTGAAACCGAAATACCTGGCCCAGGTTAGGAGATTTCTTTGGGACCTCTGATGGACTGAGCTGCCCATGGACTGTGCTTTGACAAGGCTGTGACCAGGGCCTCAAGGACGTCGTGTGGCTGGCCCACATCTGCATGGAATGTCAAGCATCAGACTGAATTCTGAGAAATAAACAAGTGTGTCACTGTGTCGGTCTCAGTTGATTTGCCTTCACTGTCTCCCAGAGAAGACAGCCGTCTTTAGGGGGCCTTTCCATTTTTCCCAACTGATAATTGGGTATTGTATTTGTTTATAACGAATCAGCTGGCGTATGGGGCCTAGGGAGTAAGAACCAAAGAAAATAAATCAGCCTTTTAAAAATCTTGAAGTCTGTGAAATTTATGCCCATGAGAAAAAACTAGTTTTGAATTGTTTCTTAGCTGTACTCGTTTTATTCTTCCTTTCCACTTGGTATGAAGGTGTTTTAATCTAGTGTAGGAAATAATTCATTTTTCCTTCCTCCTTCCCTTTCTTCCTTTAAAAATTTTTTTCTATTTAAAAAGGCTTACTTGTGCCTACCCGTTTTCAAACAGTCATGTGAAATAGGCGAGGTCCCCTCGACTCCGTTCTGCAGATGGAGCAGTCATGGCCAGGTCGTGGCTTGCCTGAGTCCTTCATTTCCCTGATGGCGCTGCAGGAGAACGTTGATCTGCTGCCTTCTGGGTTGGGTCTCTTGGCTCTTCAGTGTGTTCTTTGAGTCAGCGCTGGTCCCCAGCTTCTGGCACGTGGAAGGCACTCAATAAACACTTGCTAAATAAGTGGGAGAGAGAGGAGGGTCTCCGGCATGCCTCTGCCTGGAATAACGGTTCCAGTAGGAAGGCTGCCATCCTGGGTCCCTCCAGACTCTCCTGTTTTCTTCTCAGACTGGCCTGTGTGGTGTGAGCTTGTGGGAGGGATTTCTGTTTCTGCCTCAGACATAGCCTGGTGTTCTTACCTGGGATCAAGGAAATGGTTCTCTGGCGAGAATGGGGGAGCCTCGTCCTGATACCCGTCTCTTAGCCCTTCGCCTCCTGCACCTGCTCTCTCATTACTGATGGGAGCTGTCCCCTGGCTGGGGCTTGCTGGTCATGAGCAGTGGTGGCACTTGACAGTGAAGCCTGGGCACAGCCCTCGGACCAGGCTGCACTTGGTCTTTCTGGGTTTTAGAGCGAGTTGAGCATGTGACCTGCACCTTCTACTATTGGGGTTACAGGTCCCTCTAACCTAGAAGGGAAGGGATCACCGGGGAGGGACTCTCTCGTGACCTTGCACAAGACTTGGTTTGTTACGACGTTGTGTCTTTAGTGGGAAATAGCTTGTATGCAGTTGGTAAGTAGAGAAATGGCGTGGGGATAACCCAAACTATGTCCCCTAGCACATTCATATTTTGAAGCGATCAGGAAGCAGATTGAATATTTTAAGAAAACAGGAAACGCTATTGATGTGCCTTTAGTGCAAGTGGGGGCTGGTTTGGAGGGTGAGAGGGAGGGAATTGAGGGGAAAAGCAAAATGTAAGAAACACAAAATGGAAAATTATCTGTTGAAGATAATATGTATGGTAACATCTTTGAGTATATTCTGGATGGGAAAGTTCATTTTATGTGCTGTAATGACACAGTGAATGAATGTAAAACAAAATTAATAAAAAATATCAACTAAAAATAATCACTCCTAGTCTTTCCACTGTGTTCAGCTATCTGGGGAAACTGAGTGGAAAGGAAGAAGCTGTGAGGACACACAACCTCACTTTATATGAAAAATGGTGAACAGGACCAGCAGATGGCATCATGGTTACGTCACTGGACTCCCACATAGCTGACAGCTGTTCAAGTCCTGGACCCAGTGGCTTCAAATTCACCCTGGGCGTGGATGGGTGGGTGCCCCAAATTACAAAAGAAGCCCCAAAATTACAAGAGAAGAATGGAGGAGAAGGGATTGTGGCGTGGCCACCCCCTTGGGGGAGTGATTTCTCCCTTTCTCTCTATCTCTCTCTCTGGTGAGTACATGCACTCTATAGCAAAAATCATCCAAAAAATGATGAAGGAGGCCGTATTCTGGATCATGTTTGTAATCTTGATGGAGGTCATGTCTGCCAGGACCCACGTCACACAGGACTTACGCCTCAGGAAGCAGCGGAAGCCCCCTAGGATGTAAGGCTGCCAGGGCCCCATGTTCGAGATGGTAGGGGCTTAAGTGCGTTAGCGTCGTCTTTAAGCTTGATACTCTTGTTAGCGCTCTGGCTACAGTAGTCTTAGCTTTGGGCTGCTCTTTTACCTCTCTTTTTTTCACAGTGTCTTGTTGCAGCCTTCTTGCCCCAGCCTCCCATAGCTGGGACCACAGGCACTTACCAACACACCTGGTGTTTAGGGTGGGCCAGGAATGAACGTGGGCCGCCTCAGTGGCCTCAGCCTGCCAAGTAGCAGTGTCCAGCGCGCGCTACCGTGGCTGGGTCGGGATTCTGTAGGTGTGGATGGTCTGCCCCAGCTTCCTTCTCTGTTGCTTCTGGAGTGCGATCCTGCGGAATGCGAGGCTCTCGGCGCTGTAGTAGAAATGGCTGTATTTGCCGAGTGCCAGCTCGAGTCTCATGCTGGCTGCCAAACAGGACCAAAAAATTGTTTCTAGTGTATCTTTTGGGGGAAGATTGCCAGGGAACAACGTAAGAGGTGATGTTCTCTGTGTTTTACGGGATGGGCGCCTTCAAAGCAAATGGCGTGGGAGCGGAAGAGGAATGTGTGAGCTGGCGAGGGGATCAGGAATTGCAGTTCGAGGTGTGTTAGAGCGACGTAAGGAGAATGCTCCTGTGTGCACAGGTGTGTGCGTAACCTGTAAAACCATCTATCTCTATCAGGATCTTCGCGATTTGGTCCTAGCCCCCCGAGTGATGTCCCGTGTTCACCTTTGCTGGTCTTTGGAGGAATTACTCTCATGCTCGTAAACATACTTTCCTGGGAACTTATCTTCAGGAGTTACCTCCAGCACCTTGTCTGTGCCTCTGCTTCCATCTACTTTACAGGATAGTTTGTTGTTAGCCTGGCTCCCGTATTGATTCAATAGTGGAACTTCAAAAACTACTTAAGTGGGCTCAGCCTGGGGGTGCAGTCAGTAGCCAACTGAACTGCAGTGCTGGAAGCCAGATGCCCTAGGTTAGTGTGAAAACACACTAGGGACGGGTATGTATGCATTTACGTCCACACACACGTTCAAGGCCCTGATGAACTGGAGGGCCGAGGAAAGGGGATTATGGCGTGACAAGGCCCTAGAGAGGGTACTTCTCTCTCTTTCCTGTGTCCTCTCTGTCGTGAATAAAACAAACAAGCAAAAAAAGAATCACCTTCTATCCTTAGGACTTGGAGTCAGAAAACCTGGGTCTGAGTAGGCAAATTACAGCCGTCACTATCTGGGCAGAAGGCTTGTTCCTAAGGACTGGGAAGGACACCAGGGTCCTTAACTTGCCAAACGTAGAGGGCAAGTGTTCCCTAATTTGTAGATGGGAATCTAGACTCAAGGAAGTTACTTATCTTGCTTGACGTTTAGTGAGTAGCAGAGAATTTGAACTCAGATCTGTGTGCAAATCTAGATTTTTTTTCTTTAATTGCCAGAGAGCACATGTACTTGTGTATGTGAGAGAGGGTCATGGTCCCACTCCAGTCCCTTCTCCATTTCTGCATTCTGTAGGAAGTTAGGCATGTATGCAGATGCACCTGTTGTGTTTTTCAGGCTGCCAGGTCTGCTTTTTGAACCTTGGTCATCTGTGTGGGATCTGGTTCCCTTAATTCCTAGGCAACTGGGCTGGCCCCAAAACTAGTTCTTTCTTTCTATTTCTTCCTTTTTTTTTTTAATTATTTAATCGT